TGATGAATTTATTATACTCCAGTCATCGTATTAGTTAAGAGAAAAAAAAATTCTAGATTAGTTCTATGTAAAAACAACAAAATCTATCATCATAATTGAAAATATTTAAATATAATTAAAATTTATTCTAAATAGGTAAATATTCAATTAAATGAAGAAGATATTCTTCAAATGATAATGATTGATACGATTGAATAATTTGTCGAAATTTATTAGTATAATAATTTTGAATAATTATATTTGTTTCAATTTTTCGATTTTTTGTATTCATTTGATGTTGATATAACTGTTGAATAGTACGAATTATTTTATAAAAACTTCGATATGAACTAGTTAACAATGAAGTCTACGAAAAAAATACAATAAAATCAATATAAAACATATGACACGTAAATTTTAGCACAAAATATTCATTCAGTTTGTGACTACTCAAAGACAACTGCTCAGAGCCGGAAGCTGTTAGTTAGATATCAATATCTTCAAAATTTTCCTCCGAAATAAGAATTCAACAACTAATATCAGATTATTCGAAAAGATACAAAATAGTGATTTTACAGAATACTATTTCGATCAAATTTGATTTACAAATTTTAAAACTTGTGTATTATCGAAAGCAGTTTGCGAAAGAGGCAATGCTGGCTTTCATAGAAAATAGTTCTTCAATGAAAATGCATAGATTAGCTATCGCTTACTCAAATATGTCATTTTGTATAGAATTAATTAATATTGATTGAAAGCTGTTTCAAGACACAAACTAAGAACTGCACTAAAACCGCTATTCTATGCTTTGTACAGACACAGTTTTGAACTTTTTTCACAAAATTTACTATTTGTTATTCAATCTTACCTCAGAATGAAAATCTGAATTTATATTGAAAAGTAGAAAAAACTTCTGATTCTAGAGAATTGCTACTGACTCTAATCAGTTGTTTTGCAATGACCAAAAAATGAGGAAATATTTTGCATCATATGTTAGTATAATTTCATATAGCTTACTCGAAACATATCATCCCATTGTTTAATATTTGTATTGATCAATAATAAATTATCAAAATGTGGAACGACATCATTCCAATTCCAAAGATTTGTAGTAAATAAGGGCTGCGAACGATGACCATTTGGACGTAAACGACCGATGCATAAATCTTCAAATTTATCATGAATACCTATACAACACAAACTTGTTTAAGGTTCCCCTCCCGTACTAAAAAATTGATTGTTTCGAAAAAACAGACATTTTTTGCGATAAACATACAGACATGATCTTTAAGGTGTCTAGCTTGCAACTTTGTAAAAATAACTACTTAGTTTAACAGATTTTTTCAGAAATCACGATAAATTTTCTAGAGTTCTCCAACGAAAAGGTTAATACCACATCTATAGGAAAATCATAAACGCTATTGCATTTACAGTTCCTAAGTGTAATTGAAAGCCCATTCGAAAATGTTCATCATGAATTTTTAATTGGTACTCAAAATAACCGTATTTGATGTTCATTTCAGAAAGTTCTTCTTTCATAAACAGTGAGGTTTGAAGCCATGAAAATGTTTTTACTACTGTACTCTCATTAGTCGAACATATTCAGAAAGTTTCATAAAAGCCCCATTCACTGTATTGAAGATCGCTTGTGAAAGAGAAGGAACGCCTTAATGGATTTTGTAAACAAATATTTAATTAACCTTCTATTGATGGTAAATATGTTTGTTGAAGAGCTTCAAAAGCCATAATAACATCTGATTGTGGAATATAAGCAAGTGCTAAAAGATATCTTATTGATTTATATTCCGTATCATGTATTATTCGTTTGTATTGCTATAAATTAACAAATCAATAAATATTCTTCAAAATTAAATAAAAAAAAAATTAAAACTTACTTGAATAAATTTACAAAATTCAAAATGTAAAAATATTGAACATATTTTAATATCAGGTATTATTGTATGATTAAGAAAGAAACTTTTTAATGAATCAATTAAAACTTTATCGAAGTTTCTTTAAGAAATTGAAAACAATAAAAGAATATAATTAATATCTTAATAAAAATAGAAAAATTTATTTCATTACGTTAAAATATATTTCGGTGTTTGTGATGGTAATAATTCATTAAATAATTTCATATAAAAAACATTTGTATTTGATGGTAAAAGAACATAAATAAGTGGAAGAATTGTTTCATTATTATTTTCAAATATTTGAATGATTAAAATACAGTGAAGATAATCATTTTTAATCTAAACAATAAAACTCATACAGAATATAGGAAAAAAACTAAGTATCTTTTCTATTACTTCATGAAATGTTGTACATAACCAAATAGATGTATTTGCTAGTTTATTTCGATAATCCTGTTCATTTTCACATGTTAATACTAATATTTGATTATATGCAAGTTCAGTTATATTTAATAATGAATTATCATGTATTGAATGATAGAGAATTTGAATATCATTTGTAGTTAAATTGTCTTCATGTTCAATATTAATCAAAAAAGAATCGAGAAGTTTTTGTTGTTGCCGTCGACGTTGAATACTTCGTTGCACTAAGAAAGAAGAAAAACTGTTTAATTTTGAATTAAATCTATCTAACTTGCTGTAACTGAAGGAAGATTAGCAGCTGTTTCATTACTAACTGATCTAGAAATTGAAGATATAATATTAATTTATGAATTTTTTTAGTATTTGTTTTAAATTGTAACCTTAATAAACGATGAACAATATCTTTAGGTGATTCATGTTGATAATGTTGAGCACTTGTTCGTATATGATCAATAACCATAGCAGCTTCACATTGAGCTGGTTCAGATGCATGTGAATGAGATGAAACTAGTGTAACATTTGTACGATTTATTGTTGATGAAAATAAAACTGAATTGTGTAAATGAATTCGACCACGACAACTTTTTTTTGAACATCTCCATTGTTCAATACCACGATCATTCGATCGATCCAAACGATATATATAACCATCAAGTAAAAGTTTTCGTTTACCTCGTTGAGTACTGATTATTTGTATTGGCTATTTATATAAAAAGAAACAAATCCAGAAAAAAAAAGACTTATAATAAAAATTGATTCTACTTCAGATATTGTTGAATTTGTTGGTAATGGAATTTCATTTATTGATGCCATGTCAATATCAGTGAAAAAATCATTCTTAAAACTTGTTTTACTGTCTTCGAATATCATGCCTTTTTCTTATTATGTATCTGTTTATCAATTTCTTTTTCTTAGTTGAAAAAAGCCGCGCACATGTGTTTAGTCTTACTACACTACTGATCAATGATAATACGATTAATAACAAAAAAGTGCGCGCATTGAATGTCTACATACCACAATGAATAGAATCTCTTTCAATGACAAATACTTTTTATTCGTTATTGAACATTCGTTAGGCTTAACATTATTGTTGAGTTTTGAGTCTCTGGGCTTTTCTTTCATGTAAAACTGAATTTTAGAAGAAAAGGACATCTTTCTGTAAGCGACGACACAAGGTGTAACAAGACTCTCAGTCTATCCGTTATGATAGAGAGTCAGTCTTCTGCATTACGCAGCAACTATATTTCACGTAACTGTAATTGATTCTTATACGATGTTCACTATACTGGACTTGAACACTGTGTCGCGCTACTATGCATTTTACGAGACATACATTTGACTAGCTCCGCTCTGTTCCACTCCTTGAAACTAATCTTTTTTTTCTCATAAGAACAACATTCATAAATACTGCTTTGAAGTGTCATTCTTGGCTTCAATAATGAATTTCTATCTTTTACAACGTTGAAGATGGCTCTAACAGTTTCATGTATGTATGCATTCGTCCTTCAACGAATATATTTGATCATGTGTTTTGTTGTGCAATGCAAAGTTATTTTTTTAAATACAATGAAATGAAATGAAAGCGAAAGTTACTTTGCCTATTCTTGCTGATGTTCGTTTTATAAAGATTTTGAAATTTTCGATTCATACTATGATTGGTGAGATCATAAATTTCTTACGAAAAGAAACTCTAAAGTCATCTCTATCACGGAAAAAGAATTTGTTCCATTAAATGATACAGAATCGATATACTCAAGTTTTTTATTGTGAAGCTACTTATGGACCATCCTGTATATGTATATACTATGAGAGATATTTCAAGACTCACATTTCAGTTTGAAATCGAAAGCAACTTTTGTTTTTGTAGATTCAAATGTTGAAATTAGATAGACCATTATATGTAAACTTCTCTAATATAAACAATTTTACATATAACCGTATTTTGTACGCACTGATTGAAATAGTTTCATAAATAAACATTGTTGCATTCATTTTGAGTAGGTGAATAGATGTAGTCTGTTGACATCTTTCGAATTATTACTTCTCAGATTATCAGGTTAATCATTACAGATCACTGTCAATTACTATAAACGATCGTTTTCGTGTCGTATTTAAGTCGTTATAACACGCTCAGTATTACGGGACATATATGATACCGTATTCTCACCGTAAAATGTCATAATGTTGTTGTATTCTATCATACACACGCCATATTACTGGTTTTGCATTCATAGAGAAATATGATCCCGTTAACGTGTTGTATTTCACTGTATACAGAATGCATTCTTTGACCAAGGCTATGTCATTGTTTCAAAAAAATAAGCTCTCATATATTCAAACGACCTTTTGAAATCAGCACACATTTTGTGTATGGCTTCTGATTATTGAAATATCTAGTTTTTGAACACGATGCCTTTTGAAGTGTTGCATAATAAGCAACGACAACAATAAATCAGTACATTCAACCTGTAGATCTAGTTATTCATCATTAAACATTAAAAAAGTTCTTTTTTATGTCACTTTCTTCAATACATATATTAATGGTTTAGTATTTAGTCAAAATAAAAAAAAAGAGAGAAGCACACAGATTGTTTTTTTTTTTCAGTCAGAACTGTGCATTGTCAATTATAGCAACACGAAACATTACATATATAAACAGAGAAAAGAAAAAAGATCAATATTTAACTATGACCAAAAACGAAAACGTGATTTTGTTGGACGTAAACTATCATCAGTTGATGAATCACGAGATGAACTGCGTACAAATCTCGGTAATGATGATTTACGTGATGGAACAAAACGACGTCGTGCTATTGGTGGATGATCAATAGCTGTACTTGTTGTTGCTGATATTATTGATTGATTATTATATTGTGAATTGCTCGTTCGAAGTATTGCTGATATTGAACGATCTGTTTAGAAGATGAAAAAAAAATTTCAATAAAAAAAAAACAAAGTTCAATAAAGAATTTTTGGTTTTCTTTACTTGGTTTTGTTATTAAAGGAAATGAAGTTGCTGTTGTTGATCGAGACATTGGTGTTGGTTGATCAGCAAGATATTGTTGAGTTTTCAATGTTGCTAATCGTGTATATAATGGAATTTCTAAACCTTTTGATAAATTTTCTTCTACATAAGCACGTTCATATTCTAGTGCATCAATCATTTGCATTTTATCTAATGGTGTACGATGTGAAAATAAATATGTTTTATTTTGTATCCGATCAAATAAACGCCAAGCAAATAATAAATGTACAAGATTTTCTTCATCTAATCGTGATACTTAAACGAACAGATTTTTTAGTTTTGCAGATATTCAAAATAAATTAATTCTTACCTTTTCCATCAATAAGATCTTCAAATTCTGAATTATCTAAATCAGCACGTCCAAAATAAATTAAACAATTACGTCGATCCTATTTTATTTTATTAAAAATAAAATATAAATTGTCTTTTTTTTTAGATATTTAAACTTTTCCTTTAATAAACATACTTTTCTACAAATAATCAGTACATGATCAAAAAGAAATAAAGTCACTTGTTCTTTTTTACCATTTTGATATAAATAAGCATCAGCACGACCAAGACCTTGTGTACTTGTTTCAATTAAATTTTTTCCCTAAAATTATAAATTAAATTAAAATCATATTTTAAAAAATAAAAAAAATTTAAATATAAAAAGTTCTTTAAAAGTTATACGTAGCAATTTTGCGTTTCATTGAGATGATAGACAAAGTTCACTTCTTCATTCAATATCTATTAAATGTCCAACATTATTTTTCATTGAATCGCATGTTGCTTCAAATTAAAAGAATAATAACTACTCGGAACGAAATCTACCGTTTGAACTTACATTTGGACTACAAGGATGTCTTGGTGAGACTAGCAAAAGTTTGAAAGAGTTCGTCCCCATGAGGCTTTAGTATCGACTTATGATCTTTTTCCTGTTCCAACAAATATTCACTTGTCACAGATATTAGTCAAAATCGATGCAGTAAAACGATCATAACTCGACTCCAAAATATAAGCAGTCCAGTTTAAAGTTTTCGGACTCTGACCTCAAACGAATAGGGTCTACTCGAAAGTCCATTTTATCATTTCGGGTAGTCGTTTCGTTAAACTTCAGTGAATACTCATCTTCAAATAGCAGCTCATTGAACATCTCGAAAAAAATATAACACAAATCTATGAATTTCAGCTTCCTATACATAATCGAGGTATCTTATCAGTGGTAAAAATGTTGTCGTATAAATTCGTGCAAAAAGAAAAGTATGAAATAATTTAATTTCCAAAACAAAGCTGTAATAACAGTGACAATGGTAAAAACTATTTCAATCTTCATGTATTATTAGCTACAGATGTAAAAATTTTCAAATCATTTTTGTTATTGCCTTGATATTAAAATCAATAATTACAAAAATATAGAAGAAACTTTACACTACAAATCAATTAATCATACCTGCCAATTTTCAACAGTTGACTGCCATTTATGAATAATTTCAACATATTCCATACGTCGTTTTCTTTCGTTAATAAAACTAGCAACATCTCGCATTGTATTAACTGCTTGTTGAATATTTTCATAATCTCTATGATCAGTTTTTGTATATTTTAATAATTCATTTAATTGTAATGGATATTGACAAATACGTTGAATTGGTGATAAAAGAAAACCATCTAATTTTAATTCAATCATATTTGCTTGTAAACGACATGTCTATATTAATAAAATAAGAAAAACAAATAAAGGATTAGAGAAAAAAAAATTATACATTAAAATTACTTCAAAAAAGTTTTGATAAATAAAATTATTTTCAAGTTTAGTTAATTCTAAACATGATAATGGATGATTAATACAATAATCTGAATATTTTTTAAATTCTTCTTTCTAAAAAAAACCAACAACAAGAAAATAAATTGTTTAAATTTCAATAAATATAATCTTACATATAAAAGAAAACATTTTCCAATCAGACTTTCATGTGGATTTTGTTCATTAATAGATAATTTTAATAATTGAAAAAATGATTGTTGAAAATGATATATTTCTTCAATATTTCCCATTAATAATTCAATTTGTCTCTCAGAAAATAGATCTTTACGTAAACGCATTTTTTTTAAATAACCCTAAAAATATAAAAATCTTCTTACTAGTAAAGTCCTCTAACTAATAAATCGTTTTTGAATCGAGACTATACGTATCATATAGATCCAAATGAGATACGAATACTCTGAAAAGAGTTCATGTCCTTAGCTTATTGCGGCGGAGAGACCGGACTTCTACACAGTATGTTTCACATGAATGCTGTAGTAACGCAATAACTTTTTTTCGAATCTCGACTTGAAACTTTGTATAGAGATAAGTTTTGACGGCACTAGTTTATCGTGAGAGTTTTAGATACCATCATTGTTCCTATCTTAAAACACAACTATAGTAAACGTCTGTCTTTTATATTGCTCATATAAACCAGCAGAATTGATGCTCTCATTTCAGGATGGAAGCGAATCTGGATTTCCAAATTTTTCCAAATTTCCGTCGTTAGTGAATGTCCTGTTGGCAAAATTCTAGCCACCCAACCAATTAAAAGACCTGAAACTTTCATAATGACCCACTTCCATTAAAGCCTATGTCTATGCAAAGTTTCAAGTCGAAAATAAGTTTTTCTGTTACTACAACATTGATTTGAAAAATATTGATAAAATGCAGTATATCTCCACAGTAATCACCTAAGAACATGAATGTTTTGTTAAGGTATTCCTAGCACATTTGAATCTATATAATACACATAGTAGTCTCGATTGAAAACTACTTTATCAGTTGTAGAATTTCTCGTGCTTGTTTAAATTTTATTTATTGAAGATGAATAATTAACTTACATCAACTAAATTTTTCAAATGTCCTAAATAGTCATGTTCAGTTTTATAAATTTCTTTTATAATATTGGCTCGTTTTACATTATCTTGACATTGTTTTATTCGTATATCAGATGATGGATACCATTCATCTTGATTTATTTCATTTCGATTAGACCATAATTTAGGTGTTTTATTGACATCCGATATATTATCTACTAATTTTGATGATTCTATTGTAATAACATTAGCATATATTGGAATTTCTGTATTAGCTATACAACCAACTAATGATGATGTTTGTATACTTGATGAACGTGAATTACTTCGAAAACCTATAGAATAAAAAATACATGATATAATAAAGATAATGTATTCAAAGAAGTTGTTTACCAGATGATGATGATGATGAAGCTGTAAGACAATTGAGATTACGATTAGAAATTATGGGAATATCTTCATCAATTAATGTTGATGAACATTGTTTACGACGTAATTGAATTGGATCGAAATGGTGAGATGTTGGCTACATATACAAATATTTATTTAAGGATATTTTTTTTGTAGATAATTGAATTGTTATTTCAATTTTCCATTACATAAGATTGATCTAAGGAAGTGGTCCTCCCTTCTCAATCCTGATGGTCTGAGGACACTTTCAAAGATTTGTAAATACATAAGTTTAAAAGTATAGAAACTCTAAGTTCGGCAAAACGGGAAAAATAACGGTCTATATAAACGTATGGATACATATGTTCGAAAATGCTCTTAAAATCTTATTATTTCAATTAGCAAAAATGCTTTATATATTTAAAAGAAAAGGTCAAATAAAACAATAAATAATCAGACGATATTCTTTGATCTCTACTGATAATGAAATGTTCTCAACGATCGCAAGTTATTGTTTGTCGACATAGGAACTCGAAAAGATTCATATGTATGTTTTATTCTTCTGAAGTTATGATCATTTTCTTGAATTTTCGATCTTCGACAAACTACCTAAGAGATTTAGTTTCATCCTTACTCGAAAAACATCATTCACTTTTACTAATACGATAAAAACACGTTTTGATCATCTCGGGGAATCCAAATTTTCAACTAAAATTCTCCAAATAATCGAATAAGGATAAGAAGAACTCATAAGCGAAAGTTCAAATCACAATTATACCGTTCAATCTTTTCTTAGATAACTTGTCTCGGATCAAAAACGTCAATATAATAGTCATAAGTACAGAGAGACAAGACATAAGCTTAGATATTTTTAGGCTCTCACAAGTCTCAACAAGTACTGCATATGGACAAACAATAGATTAAGTTTTTAGAATTTCGAGACGCATAAAGTTTGTTCTTTTTTTTTTCTTAACTAACTTTAATTTTATGTGTAACAGCTTGTTGAACAATAATTGGTCGAATTTTGCATTCTTTTATCTGATAATGACGTCGATGTTTGTCTGATTTATTGGTTAGTTTTTCTATAAATTTTTCTTGTTTATTTTCATTTTCTAATCGTTGATAATGTCGCAGTGCTTCAGAAATCAATGAAGCATTACCTAAGACAAGCACAAAGAAAAAAACAATACAAAGATACATAAACAATACAAAATTAAAAAAATAAAAATAAAAATAAGAACTTTTTCTTTTATTTCATTACACTTCACCAGATACAAAGTGTTATCTGCTTTTGTTTTCTAAACAACTAATTCGATTGATCAGGTGTATAAAAGATCTATTCTCATTAAATAACCATTATTCATTTTGTTTATATATTCAACATAGTTTAAACTAATGTCAGTTTTATTCTTTTATATGATAAATGAGATAATAACCTTGACTCTTCTTTTGAACAACATGCAGATGTATTTTATCAGATTGTTGTTCGTATTAAAAGACAACACATACCGACAGATAGTTATTGTCTTATGAACTCGTGTCCACTAATCTTGTCAATTATTTGAACTCAGTTGATTGACCTCTTGTTAATCGTTATGTTTAAAAAACAAACAGTTATACACCATCTCTCTCTCTCCAACTGTGTGTGAGAAAAAAAAAACGAGAAGATCAACAAATAATCATTTACACGGAAAGCCTTTCAAGAGTTAAGATTTTAACACATTTGACTAGTCTTAAAACAATACAAATATAAGAAAATTTCTTTTCTTTTCTTTTTTTTTTAGTTACTACTGTTTCGCCTGAGGATATAATAATGATTATGTAGGTCTTTCTTTTTTTTGTGTTCCCGGAAATCACTTCTCAACACCTTCTGTATACATTTCAATATTCATTACACAAGATGTTACATATGTATATATATATATATTCTTTTTTTTTTCTAAGCCTTACATTAACTTTGTTGATATGTTCTTTTTTTTTTTATTTGATTAACATCTTTGCTGAATTAAGAAAATATATATGTACTCTAATAATCATCACTATAAGCGATAAGAATATCGACGTTTTTAATTCTACATAACGCGTTGACACACACACAATCCGAATAAAAAATAAGTTTAAGATGATGTGGGAAAATAATGTTCACTCTCATCATTTATTGAGATTACTTAGCATTTCTATCTACTTCGAACGATGATGATGATAGTATCTGTTTAATTCAAGTTAACTTCTCTTGATGTGTTAATTGAGAAATCTGTAAAGTTTCAGAAGAAAAAACTTTAACCTTTTGGTGTCGTCATCATTTATTTTATTATTCAATTCATTTACCATTGACTAAATGTTAATGAACTGTATGATGAATAGACAACAAGCGAAATATCTAATGCTTCTGCCATATGGAAAAACTTCTCAATAAAACACATCATCAATATTTTCATCATAATCAATGAAATAAAAAAAAGCAGTATTCACTTACATTCGTTTGATGTGTTAAGTATGTAAAAGGACAGCAATAATCATCTATATTCACTTACCTGATGTTCTTAACAAAAACGAATCAATGTTCAAACACGAAAGATTTTCTCTTTTAAAGATTACATCACCTTGTCAATCAACGATCAATCGTTTCTCCTAAGGGAAGTCAAGTTTTGTCTACATGTGATTTTTATAGTTGATAAAAATAAGAAAATCTCTCAAGTATGAGACTAAAAAAATTATTTTTTGCTTTTCAAATTAAACTAAAAAAATAATATGTAAATTAAACTTACGTTTAAGACTACATCGTACAGTAACAGATGTTGATTTACCATTTTCTTTAACATAACGAAAGCGTATTTTTCTCATGTCTTTTTTTTTTAATGGAGAAACTATTTGTTAGATGGCCGTTTCAAAGTAATGATATGTAAAAGATATTTAATCTATTTGTGAGCGAACGGAAAAATGAAGATTAAATAATATCAACCAATACATAAACGAGAAGAAAAGAGAAAAAAAGAAAAAAAAACGAATCTATTTCTTTCGCTTTCGCTCAATTCTGTTCCAGTAGACAGACGTGATACGATGATGAGTTTTTTTCTCCGTACGAATGAACATGATACCTCATACTGCGAGAAACGAAAAATCAACAATTGACTTTATCAAGACAGAGAGAGAGAGAGAGACAACGTTCTCAGGTGACCACTTTATTTAAAAACAACGGCGTAAAATTCATTTCCTTATTATATACAAATGAACTTCTTAAATACGCACGAACACCTACCTAATAGTTGATGATGATCGTGCATGAATATTGAATTTTGTTCAATTGTAGATCGTAGTGTTGTTAACTTGAAAAAAAACAATAAAGAAAAGAAAGATTAAAGAGAGTTATACAAATAAGTAATTCAATAAAAGATTTTGTAATTAAACTTTTGTGAGATACTCAAAGATTGATAAAAAAAATAAAACCAATATGCTCGGTTTCGATGTCAGTGTTTTATTCAGCTGAGTCTCTGTGAAGATCGAGTTTGTCCTTCGGAAGAGAAAATCTAGATACAACACTATTCGACATAATACATCTGGTTGCAAAAAAAGAACATCAATCTTTATAACTGATTACAATCAATTCTATAAGAGTTCAATGGTCAGAACCTTGTAATATATATCTTAATTTTTGTATTACTTTTATTTTTGGACAAAGTATTTAATTATTTTTTATATATACATTTGGAGGGGTGTCCCGAAAGTGTCGATGACTCAGAAGACTCATCGAAAGAATTCTGGTAAAGTCAACCAGATTTTGAGAATTGGTGAGCAAAAAGAAAATCCATGAAATGTTGAAGGAAAAAGAAAATTTTTCAAGATTGCACTATAAGCAATGTTTTGTCTAACACGGGAATTAATTGGGCGATGCTTCTTTGAGGATTGGGTTGTCCCTTCAGAAGTTACAGCATGTACCGTTTTGTCTATACTCTCAAACATGAGTGTTCGCTCCGTCAGAAGAGAAAACCGAAATGAAACACTGACTTCATATTATCAAGCTACATTCTAAACCTTAGAGGTAGACGAAGATTGCCCACATGCCTATGCAGCATTGTTCGATTTCATGATTTTATTCGTACTGTCAGAATATTAAACAAACGATTTTGTGCTTTCAAAACGTATTCACTGAGCAAGGAAAGAAAGAGATGTGCGAAACGTGTAGACGTAAGCAAGAACATGAAGTAAAAAGACAGTTAGATGATCGCTTCGAAAATATAAGATATATTCCCTAGGTTCATTGTATTCGATGATTAGTGTACCCTATATATTTCTCAGACGAGTAGAGTCCAACGATTCCAGAATTTTTAGAATCACACTCGAGGAACTTCAGCGCAAAGTAGTTCTCTGTATCTGTACTTATATTTTTTATCAAATCTTACAGTGTAAATTTTTATGAAGTTCTATCTAAATTTTAAGCCTACTTAGGAACTTTATTTCATAAATATAAAGCATATAGATTAATAGCACTAGAAGCATAAGCATTACTTATACATTACCTTAAAACTATTCAATATCCTGAAAATAAGAATATTTTCTTTTTTTGTTTTTGAAGAATATACAAAAGAAACAAACCTTTGATGATATTTGATAATCATCAAAATCAATTTTTGATATCCATGTTAAAGGTATTCGTATAGTTGTTGGTGCTAAACAATCATAACCAATATGAATAAAATGATTTTCTTTATATTTTATTTGAGGAAATGGTATATAAATAAAATCATAATAATTATGTTTTTGATGATAAAGATTATTTTCAAATAATTTTGGTTGAAATAAAACTAATATTTGTTGTTCTAATAGAATACCATAAAATGATTTATTTTTTTGAATAAATGGCCAATGTGGAATATCATATAATATTGATTGATAATTATTATGTAAAGAATTATTTAATCTTATTTGTAAAATAAGATCAATTTGAATAATATCAAATAGAAAAAAAGATTTTTGAATTAATTGAATTGAATTTTCATGTTTTTTATATCCAAATGTTCCTAATAATAAAGTATAATTTATTGATAGAGAATTTTTATGTTTAAATATTGAATAATTAAGAAGACGAGAACGACGTTTTGTTGATTCTTTAGCTTTAAATGATCGTTCATGAAGACTATGATTTAATGATAATGATTGTCGACGTTTTAATGGTAAAAGAAATGATGAAACACGTTTGATTTTATTAAATGATGATATAGAATTTAATTTAGGTGAATTATCAGTATTTGTTGGTTTTTGAAAAAATAAACATGTTTCTTGTACATGTTTTGATGGTGAAAGAAGTATAAAACATGATGATGGACGATTTATTGATGTTGATAATGTATCTTGTTTTGTAAATGAACGTCGTGTTAATTTATTTTGTTGATCATTTGAAGTTGTAGATGTTGAACGTATAAAAGAATTTGTTGTACGAATATTTCGACTAAATTTTGTTAATGTTTGAAATATATTTGATAAATGAAATGTTGTACGATGATGTTGAGATGATTTTTCAATTGATGGTGAATATTTTGAACCACGAAGTATTGGAATATTGAAAGAATTAGATGTTTTAGGAGAATTTACAGATGATGACATTCTTGTTTTTATCTAAGAATGTTTCATTATTATTTGAAAAAATCTGAAATAAGAAAAGAAAAATAGTTTCTTATGTTGTTTGATCCAGGGTTTCTCTTTTGGAGCATAGACAAATCATACATGCTACTCTCTGTATCGAACCTTTTTTCATATACGTAAGACGAAACCATTTAGGGTATGATGCGGAATGTATGAAGTTTCATAGTCCCCTGTCGAACTGAAAGATTTTCTGTATAAAACTTGTTTGTAACTTCGGGAGGACTAACAAGATCTATGAAAGCGCGCCGGATTAAATACTGATGATGATGAAGGCATAAAAGATAACAAAACTCTCAGTGATCTTTCGGCGTAAGTATCAGTACGAAAGATGAAATCAATTCGTATCTTTTCGGAACTGAATCGATTCTATCTTTGGATTAGTACTAAGATTATGTCGCTTGTATCTGATTTTGTTTTTCAAGTAAAGATTTTGTGCATTGTTAGAAACACTATGTATAATCGAATGAAAAAAAAAACTGATGTTTTTCAAACGTTGACTACTCAAACAGTAGATGGTAGACACAATGCTTTATTTAGTTTTGTTCTTGACAAGGAACAATTTGGGAATGTGTAGGTGCTAACGCATACTTTCGAATGGGTGAGTCTGATTTTCGAAGGAAAGCGTTATGAATTTGATTTTCAAATGGGATAAAAAAATTGAGATACATATTAGTGATGTATCTAATAAATCAAAGCTTAACAAAAATAGGATTTATATTTATGTTTAAAAACTCTAATGAAGATTGTTGAATTAGCTTATTAAAAAGCTTCTATAATCAATGAATGAATGAAAAAATCAAATGAAGAACATTTGATTTTGAATAAATTATTAAGATACAATGGAAAGATATCCGTCTATAACAGACAATGACAGATATTTACAATAAATATTTTTTTTCGATCTATGATCATTATTTAAATAAAGTTTTTTCATATTTATTTGCATATCAAAATCTAAACATAAATTCTCATTTCAATGATGTTTTCTTTTAAGATACAACTTGTTCTATAAATTTCATCAAAGAAAACTGTATTTCTAAATTTAAAAAATTTAATTTGATTTAAATACTAAAGCAACGACTATACAAAGGTGCGATCCAGGTGCAATGATCAAATTTAATTAGCTTGAAAAAAAATTAATCTATTAAAAAAAAAAAAAAAAAATAAATTTTTTATTTAAAAAAAAAAAAAGATTTTCTTTTATTTCTTTTTATAAGTTAATTTTTGACTTAGATGTCAGTACAATCTTAATACAATACAAACAATCGTAGCGCTATCTATATTATACATCAACTGACTGGTTTAATTGTTCTGCGTATACATATTGAATTATGAGCTTACGTAGATAGATAGAATAATATTCGGATAAAGATGAGTCGATATAAACACTTTAACGATGAGCTTAGTACAGCTGATATTAATGAAGCAGATGCTTTACCTGAGCTTGATGTTGATGAACCACATCAATTAGAATTTAAACTTCAACTTCGTAATTATGCATCAAATACAAGTCCTCCAATAAAGAAATTTAATTTAAATCGTTTGAAAATTTGTCTATCACGACGAACACGTCTTGAACGTTATTTACTTATGATAAATGTAATACTTTTATGTTCGGTATTGTTAATTTTTCTAATGTATTTTTATCGTCATGAAGATAAAAAAGATCCTGAACAATTATGTTTAACACCTATATGTATTCAAGTATCATCATCAATTTATTCGGGAATGAATCAAACAATAAGTCCATGTGATGATTTTCATGAATTTGTATGTGGTCGTTGGATAAAAACAAATATTATTCCAAAAGGTCATTCAGGATGGTCAACAACAAAAGAATTAGGTCGAAAAAATCTTATTATACTTAAAAGTATTCTTGAACAGCCTTTAATGAATAATTCATTATCAGTATTTAATGCTGAAAATGAAGCTATTAAATTTTATCAATCCTGTATGAATATAAGTGAAATTGAACGACAACAAAGTCAACCATTAGAAAGATTTTTAAAAGATAATCTTAATATAACTATAAATCAATGGATTAATGTTGATAAGAATGAAACTTGGCAAAATTTATTTGTATTTTTAACAAAAACACTTTCGACAAAATATGGCTTCTCATATTTATTACCAATATCTATTGGACCAGATGACAAAAATTCAACATGGAATGTAATTCATGTAAGTGAAATGTGTTGAGGAATTTCTCTAATTTTTTCTTTTTATTTGATGAAAAGATTAATCAACCTCAACTTGGTCTTGATAGTCGAGACTATTATATAAATTCGACTGTTAACAATCGAAGTGATCCAGATACAGATGCAAGAAATCAAATTGTAAATATAAAAATTTTTCTTTTATAAAGTTTATTGTTTTTTTTTATTATTCTTAAGATTCGAGATACATATATAAATGTTGCTTCAGCTTTATTACAATTGCTTGGTTTTGAAAAAAATCAATCAGAAACACGTATTAATGATATTATTCAATTTGAAATCGAACTTGCAACAATTAGCTGTAAGTTATTTAGATATAGAAAGAAATTGATTCACTTTTTTGAAAATATATTGTAACAATAATCAATACGTATCAATAAGAGTTCGATCAAATCGAAGTATGAGAACAAGTAGAATAAAATAGAACGATAATTTTTTTTTGTGATTTCATTATTAAATATTCATTACGATTGATGATATTTAAGTATACTTTTTTCAACTATCAAATTTGAAACTCATCATCAGTATTTTATGCAGTGTTGGAGTGGCGTCCGTCCGGGGATCGTGTTAGTTTTTTCGAAGTGTGCAGGACTTACTATGTGTCTATGTTCTCAACAACAAGTGTTCGCGTCCTCGATGTTTTAAATAGCTCCTTTGAGAGAAACAATGTACATAAAGTACTGTTCATCACATAACATTGGAGAAGAGCGACATGAATTCTGATCCAGACCGAAAGTCATACAGGACTTACGGCTCGTGCTCAAATTTTCTTATTAAATTACCTAAAAACAAGAAATTCTATAAAAATTCGGTACACTCTATAGTACTTAGCAGTATGTATTTTCAATAAAATGTTCTGCACAGCAGAACGATATAGAACTGAGCAGTCTACTTTGATTCTAATAGAAATGGTGTGAAATAATATATATGACGTGTCATATCAGACAACTAGAGAGCAGAAGAAAGATCAAATAACATTTTGATACATGAATGATGTGATGACAAAAAGAAAAGGAATAATCTTAAATCTACTTAACTATAGTGTGATCAAAATTTGGACTGCTTGACACTACGTTAACTTGCTGAGCGGAACCCTAGAACTGTAATTTGATCTAAATGCATATTGCTGATAAATAATTTTTAATAAAAATGCACACTGCTAAGCATTATGGAGTGCACCAAGTATTCGTAGAAATAAAACTTTTTATGTGGGTTAATATGAGAAATTTGGGGATGATGTAGTGGACAATCTCTATTAAGCACGTGAACATGATTTATATCCTGTCAAAAAACGAATTTTTTCATAGAAATATTAACTTGTTAGACTCATAAATAAGATGGATGAAAAGAAAGAATATTTGCGATAGAAAATCCCTAAGGGAAACTCTTCCCTAGACTCCTGTAAAAAAAAAAACTTTTCTTGTAAAAATAGACAAATGATATTTCGCTGGATGCACGTTTTTCACGTTGATTGGAAGTGAGCCTTTATTTTTCTCGTAAAACGTTTCTTTGAGAAATAAATCACGAAAAGTCTTTCAAAACTCAAATTTTTAGAAAAGCTGTGTCTCAGTCGAGAAGCAATTACTCATTGTTTTGCTAACTGCGTGTATGTCGCAGATGTAGAAGAACATTCTCTGAAATTTTCATTGATATAGGATTAGTGGAAAGACATAACGACCAAGTTTATTTAAGACGTCTTTTCGAAACTTTTGGAATATTCTAAGAGTCATTAGACCTCTCTATGGGGAAAACTTCAGATCAAAACTGCATCATTCAGTCTTCAAGAAAATACCTAAAAATGAGGCCAAAATTAAATAAACCAGTCATAACTTGGCGCTGAAGGCCAATAGAAGCGAATCCTTCTAGATTTTTGATATTTTTACTGATATTTGCCTGTGAGTGTCTACTATGAGCTCAAAAGATGAGCGTCAGTTAGGGTAGTTCTCTCAATAGCGTAAAAAGAATAGTCACTTTTTCAGAACGAAAAATTTTATAAATCGATAAAAGTAATGGTTCTAGGCTTTTTCAACTGTTTATTTTTCGCAAAAAAATGATGTTTTTCTCTAAGAGCGCTGAAATCTGACCATTCTTTTGCGACTACCCATGTATAAAAAATGACTCAAAATTAGATTAAAATCGATTATTTTCGGATTAATAATCTATTATAATGACACTATTTTAATCTGATTAAAATCAGATTTTCTAGCATCGAAAGAAAAAATTATTTTGATTTTAATCTTTTTTAGGCGATTACAAAAATTTAGCATTCAGTTTTAATAGATTAAATTTTTGTAATCGATTTTAATCCATTACAAAAAGATTAAAATCAAAATAATTTTTTCCTTTGATGCTGAAAAATCTGATTTTAATCAGATTAAAATAGTGTCATTATAATAGATTATTATCTGATTTTTAGGCGTCTTTCTTTTTTTTTTTACATGAGTAAGATTCCTAATGAATTTGTCGACTTAGACCAAAAAAAAAATTTTTGTTCAAAAATTGATTGTTCCACAATATCCAGTGCAAAATTCCCATCTCTTTTCAAAAATCATACTATTCGTATTGTAAAACATCGACGAAACAGAAGGACTGTAATATAAATTTTATTGAATATTTTGAAATATTCTTATTGTTTCTTTTCTTTTTGAAGTACCAATGGAAACGTTACAGAAACCAAATGAAACATATTATTTAATGACATTAAAACAACTTCAAGAACAGTATCAATCAATAGGATTAGATATT